TAATCACATTATTATTATCAACATCGTCTTAATTAAAAAAAAAAAAATGATATAATATTATATAATATTTATTAATACAAAATATAGAATAATAATTCTTTTAAATGTCGTAGAATCATTCATTGGGAATTAAAAATTAAGACTATTTTAATGCACTAACATCAAGTAATTTTGTCATTAATCGTTATGAAATTATTCAAAATACTATATGTTTTTTATAAAATATATTTTAGGCATGTAATAATACAAATATTTTTAACTTAAAAGTTATAAATTAATTAATATCAAAATAATTTGAGGAACAAATGCAGTTTAGTTAACAAGCGATTTTTTCGATTATTTTTTTCCCATAATGAATGTTTTAAAGCACTGAATACAAAAATCTGATTCAAAAATTCTCGCATTTTTTACTTCAAAAGTTATACCATAAAAACTATAAAACAGTACATTTTTAAAAATACGTGATATCCTCGATAAAAACATCGAAAAAACTTTCTGATTATTTTTAAAATTGTATGTTTTTATGATAGATGGATATATGCAAATAGATTTTAATTATCGTATTTGCTGTTTAAAAACTAAAAATTAAAAACTTAAAAACTCGTAAGTTAAATCAAAATTTACACAATATCACAGCTTAATATCTCTCGCAGTGACTACGCTCCTCGGCAAAGTGCATGCATAGGTAACTACGTAAAATCGTAAACTTTGGAAAAATATAACTTCCAAAATAATAATTTACGAGAATTTTTGAATAAGACTTTTGTATTCAGTGCTTTAAAACACACATTTGGGGGGGGGAATCGAAAAATCGCGTGGGAACTAAACTGCATGTTTACCTAATTTGAACCTCAATATAACGATTTCTACTGTTTATAAATAATAAAAACAATTTTTAAAAAATTCCTTTACCGTTGGCCATTGTATACTTTTTTGGTAAAGCACCATAGTTCAGACGAGATTTGTCATTAGGGTTGGTAAAACACTTATTTTGAAAGTGATTTTCACATAAATATCGGTTTCTTAGTTTTTTAGGAGACAACAAATCCAAAGTAATATTTCCTTAAAAAATTAAAAATTAGATTTACCTATTTAATTTCGGTTTTACGAATTAACATATTGTATGTATATAATTATTATAATATATAGTATATTAATATATACAATATATTATGATTAAAATATTATAAAGTATCAATGTATTATCAACCTGAATTAAGTATCCATTCTCTAGCCAATGAATTGTCGGTAGGAAATCTAAACATCTTTAATCCTTTGTTATTACTTCGATTTTTCATGCAGTTAAAATAAGAACAAGTACCACCCGGCACCTATTAACTAATGGACTGCTACTTCCTCACCCCCGACCTAGAGAAACACTCAGACAATATCTGATAAGCAAAAAGGGGTATTGTGGAAGATTACATATTATTGTTTATTCCATGAATTTTTTATATTGCGTCTGTATTCAAAAATCAAAATGCACATTAAACAATTTGAAATCTGTTAATTCTAAAATACAAAATAAAATTATTATAAATAATAAAAAATAAACCATAGACCTATTCATAGACCTATAATATAATAATATAATTAATAGGTCTATGCATTTTACTGAAGCCGGAAGTGGACGAGTTTTGTCAAATGTGACCTTATCCTTTCTTTGGGTTGGTTATTTGTTTTATTCAAATGTTGTATACGAATAGTGAAGTAAGTTTTAAATATAAATTTTATTATTTGAATAAGATGATTATTTATCGGATTTTGATTGTAAATATGGTTTGATAATTTTAAAAAGTACTTGCTTATATTAATCCGTGAAAAGGCCTTAATAATAAATGTTTTTGTTAAATTATTAGAATTTGATTTAAAATTATGTTGATGGATCCGAAATACATTTTCACCTATACGACAAAGTTCCGTCACATCATCATTTGGCCTGACTAAACCACCTCTAGTTTTTAAATCAATCAATGGTGTTTGGGTATTACTTGACTCGCTTATAACCTCTGCACATTCTTGACATTTTATAATTTTTTTTATTTTTCTAACAACAAAGCCACTAATATACTGTGTTGTATCCATTAAATACGATGTATATTGTGATTCCTCTAAATATAGAAACATTGATGTATCTTCTTCTTCATCAATCTATTCCAGCTGTACAAAAATATTCTAATGAATCAGATTCAATTCGTTGGGAACTGCTAGTCACGGCTAAAATGTCAGTCTCATCTAGATGCATACAGTTAGCTTGGATAGATGTAGTAATTTCTGTGTGTATCAGTAACCTTTTGTACGCTGATTCAAATTGACTGGCCGTGGGGTTATTGCAGAACCCACCACGAGATCGTATAGCAGAAAAAAACATTTCTATGTGGTCTTGAGAGATTTTATATGATAATATAAAATCCATATGATCAGTTTTAATCACATCATCAAATAATGCTATAATACTCTTCAAACACACAATTAACCCATTAAACCCAGTTTTTCTTCCAGAATTTATTACAGGAATGAAGTCAAAAGGTTTTGTTTGTTTGTTATACACTCTTGTCTGCAAAGATTCTAAGTATTCAATAGCCGATGTAATAAACAATTTTAAAAATATTTCATCCTTTTTATAGATAGGTTTTTTGTAAACCGTTTTACCTAAGAAATTTCTGGTATTAAGTAAATCAAAAATATCATTAATTTGTTGGCAAAATGTTGATGTTGCATCAGAATTTTGGAAGCCTTGAATTTTTTGGTTGGAGCAATAAATTAACGCTTTAGATACACTCTCGCTTAATGTTTGAGCTGCTAATCTAACTTTCATCTTCTCCTTGTAATAGTTGATATGCCTTTCTCTTATTTTTGTTGCTAAATGCAGTTGAGTTTCATCTTGGAGCTTTACAAGTTTTTCAAAAAACTCCCATTTTATTTCTTGTCCATTCTTATCGTATAATAATTTCCAATCACCAAGAGTATTTCTACATAGTTTTAGCATATGACATGGATCTAAAAAAATGAAAATCTTACTCTTGGTGATTGGATGCAAAAAATATGTTTTTACATTAGGTGGATATAGTTTACTTCCTAATGAAGTAGCCATTGATATATTGGAACCAGCACCATCAAATGTAAGGCTTTTTACAATAACATCTGTCTCATGAATTATATTTAAGCTTGTTCTAACTAAATTAGCTTTTTCTTCTCCTGACATACCATTGATAAGAAAATAGCCAATAGGGATTTTCCAATTGGAATTTAAAGCCACAAGCATTAGTACAAGGGCTTCTTTGGCTAATGGGAGTGAATCTGTATCTTCGTTTAGACCAGTGCCATAATTCACATATCCTTGATTTCGTTTTCCATTAAAATGTACATCCTGTTTTATACTGACTTCATCCATCATCATTCCGCAAATTAATTGTTTGTTTTTTAACTTCATTTCAGACTCTTTATTATGTAAAGCGTTTAATGATTCTGTAGTGAAGCCCGGGGATCCATTAATAACGGCATACCATTTGCGTATTGTGGATGGATGGGGAAGGGATTTATTAAAAACTTTTCTAACATAATTCTAAGCGGAAGAAGAATAAAAATGTAAAGTTAAAGCAAAAGCTCTTAGTTCTGGAGATATTTTTTTTTCAGAAGTACCATTTAACTGTTTTAAAATAATTTGTCTTTGCACAGTGGATAAATTGTCCTAAAAAATGAATTTAAGACAGTTAAAAATCACATCATATCTTATTAATATATCCTTTAATTTTGTTTATTATTATGGTTTCACCAAATAAGTCATTAGCATGTACAAATTAATAGGTACCCAAGGTTAAATAATCACAAACAAGCTAAAAGTTTTATTAAAACATTTAAGTTATCATAGAACTATTAACATTAGTTAGTACTGTTAGTAACATTAGTTAGATTTATATATTATTTATTTTAATAAATTACAAATTCTAACCTACATAATAAACACGTAAAGACATCACACTAATATTTTTTTATGAAATTCACAAAGGTTATTTGGTTACAGAAAAAACATAGAAAACATAATATAATGTACATAAATGGTAGTGTAAAAATACCTATTTATATATTATTTATTTTAATACATTGCAAATTCTAACCTATATAATAAGTAGTAAAGACATAACACTAATATAGTAATATGTTTTTATAAAATTCACAAAGGTTACACTTACACACAAATCTAAATAACAATAATTCCACAACCGATTATTTAAAAAAACTTTTAAGAGGACACTACCCATGCATTTGTTGTCTCCGTCTTACACACTTACGACTTAGCAAATTTATAATTCAATTTTAATTTTTGATATTTCACATACACAAATCTTACTTCAAAATGAAAATATTGAAATATCGCCAACGCTTATGCACAGATAATATTCTTACCTATAAGTATGATAATACTCTAATATTAAAACCAAAAATGTGACTATGTATGAGTTTGTGTGTGTGTGTGATACATTTCGATGTATAACGTATGCTTTAGCCGCTAAATACCCAAGTATGGCGACTGCCATAGTGAATTATGTGGTGGGTGGGTGGGTACTGGGTGCTGGGTAGGTGACACATAGCCCATATGTAAATATTATGAAAGTATTTAAGTCTAAAACTATATAATATTTAACATAATTACATAAAAACACATCTGTTGTAAATGATACGCCGATTACGTCGATACGAGCCTGCCATAGTCCGTAGACCGTAATAGCAACGCAGATAACGATAATGCGATGTGCTGTAAAAACCAAAATATGTCTATTTTTGGATTGTATTGTAAATGGTATGGTGATATCCACTGGCTGGTCGTTTGGCTACGCTGCTACGGTCGTCACTCGACATGATCATCAGTATCCACTATCAATAATAATTTTCGAAAAATGTTCATTGTCCATTAACGATTGACAATTGTTCTTTGTTCACTGACACAGTTCTTATACGTGATTTTTCTTATTTGTTACCATTTGTAATAAATAATAATTATGGATTCTACTTCTACAAAACTTAATATTTGTCATTGCGGCAAAAATATGAGAAGCTTAAATTCACATAATTATAGGCTGCACGTTAAATCATGCAAGCAACACAAATTGTCTGAGACTAGTGTCAAAATCAGTACCTTTTTTAAGGTGAAAACTGTGAAATGTAAGTATAATTTTTATTTATTTATTAAATACACTTAAATTATCTGTGAAAAAGTTGTTCCTTTTTTATAATTTTTCTATTAAATTTCTTATACTTTTCTTAACATATTTTAAGTGTAGCTTTTTGAATTTTGCCATCTTGCCATCCCTATTGTTATGCAACCGATGCCATCATTTTCTAGAGATGATTATTATTATTTTGATAAATTTTAAGATATTTTAGGTACCTACAGATAATGACATTATTGAGAATTTGTGAATAGTGTAACAAATATGTTTTGAAATGTTAGTTCGTCTTACTGCAATAAAATAATGTTTAAAATCTCTAACCAAAAATATCAGCAAATATATCAGATATATAAGATCAAAAATATATTATGAACTGAAATATATTGAATTTATATTATTTAGATTAAACAGTTATTGAACTTTTTGATTAGCCTTCAAATTATTTAAACAATATAACAAGTAAAATAATCTTATAGGTACCTATATCATCATTGACAATCAAGGCTTAAAGGGAAAAAATTTCAGAGGGGACTAATGTCCAAATTTGTTAAAGGTGATGCTTATTAACTGTCGTCAGAGGAAGGGAGACTGAGTCCCCTGTGTCCCCCATCCCACTTTAACCTCTGTTGACAATAGTAATTTATAATTATATATTAATGATAGGCAAATGATAATTATGATACAAATGTCTTGTACTAGAAATACAAGTTAAAACAAATCTGTATTTATAAAAAATATGATAATAATTTGTTGTATGAATAGATGCAACTAATGTGACTGATGAAACTGTACTCGATGAACATGATTGTTCTTCAATGAATATTAAAACAGCTAACGATGTAGAAACTATAACATTAATACCATCTAGTTCAACTTTGGGTAAGTACAATTCAATTTAATCATATTAAATTATATTTTAAAAAGGCAAGTAAAATATATTATTTTTCATGGATAGATACACCTAATGTGATTGAAGACACTGTACTGGATGAACACGATTGTTCCTCAATGGATCAAAATATTGAAACAGCTAATGATGTAGAAGCTTTAAAATTAATACCACCTAGTTCATCCTTGGGTAAGTAAAATTTAATTTAATCAAATCAAATATATTTTAAAAAGGCATTTAAAATATATAATTGTTTTTCATGAATAGATACACTGTACTGGATGAACATGATTGTTCCTCAATGGATCAAAATATTGAAACAGCCAACAAAACTTTATCATTAATATCATCTGGTTCATCTTCCGGTAAATTTAATTTAATTTGATCTAAATAAGCAGTAGACACATCTTTCATCTGTATTATATACATATCTACTAAGCCGAGAACATTTTTTATGAAATTATCTATTTAATTTTTGTTTTATTAGATAACAGACTGACAAATGATCCTGGAATAATTGTCAAAATGAAAAACTTAGGACCAGAAATGAAGAAGTTGATTATAAACATAGGTCCTTGTCAACCAACTAAAGATGATTTTCCTGCTAAAACTTTTCCGATCGATAGAAATGGCCGTAATTTCAAAGATTTGTGGTATTTTCGTTTATTAACCGACGGAACTAAAGTACTTAGAGACTGGTTAACATATTCAGTAAGTCTTGTTAAAGTTTATTGTTTACACTGCTTTTTGTTTGGAATAAATTTACATGATAAATTGGCCAAATCTTGGACCCAGGCTGGCTTTTCTACTTGGAAAAATGGAATTTTTGCAATACAAAATCATGAATGTGCCCCCGATCATATTTTATCATCCTTAAAATTTAAACTTAGAGAAACCAATGCTCCAATTTTACCAGCTCTAGAACACACAAGAAAATTTCAAGTTGCTTATAACAGACAAGTGGTTTTAGAGCTAATAGAGATAGTACATTTTCTTGCTCTCCATAATTTGGCATTCCGAGGTCATCGTGAACAATGGGCAAATACTATTAAAGGCAACTTCAAAGATTTAGTTATTTTAATGGCAAAAAATTCCACTGTCCTCTTTGAACATATTTCAAAAATTAAAAATGCAGGTAAACATCAAATATCGTTTTTATCATGGCAAAGACAAAATCAATTGTTAGAAGCTATAGCTGAAAATATTTCTACTAAAATTGTTTATGAGGTTCAAACTACTCACATATTTAGTATATCTATTGATTCAACTTTTGACGAATCTAAAAGAGAACAAGTGTCTTTTGTAATACGATACATAGATGAAGAAAATGGAGCCGTAAAAGAAAGATTGCTTGCTCTAAAAGAATCACCTTATACTACAGGAAAAGTATTATTTGATTTATTTAAAGATGTAATGGAGACTAATAATCTTAACTGGAATAATAATTTATTTGGCCGGTCGTACGATGGTGCCAGTAATATGAGGGGCAACTATAAAGGTCTTCAAGCACGCATTTACTGCCCTCATGCATTGTTCATTTGGTGCCACGCGCATAGATTGAACCTTGTTGTGAAGCAAGCAGTTTCATGTAATATTGATGCAGTTGATATGTTTGGAAGCTTGGAAACATTATACGCTTTTGTATGGACTTCAAAAAAGAGAGTTGCTATTTCGGAATAATCAGTCAAAAAGAAATTATGGAACACAATTACATGCAATAAAAAGAGTAAGCACTACTAGGTGGATGTCCCATGCAGCAGCTCTTGATACAGTATTGTCATTTTTTGAAACTATTATTGACACATTGATTAACATTCGTGATTTAGAAGGTCCCAGTGATTCAAAAACTGGATCGACTGTAAGTGGCTTAATTTTATACTTTTTATCCTACAAATTTTTAATAACTGCATTTACATTTAAGGAATTATTTGATATACTTGGACCTATTAATAAAATACTTCAAACTCAAGATTTCGATGTCATTAATGCAACAGCAATAATAAATCAAACTAAAACTAGGGTTAAAAATATGCGTGAAGATAGTGCGTTTGAAAAAATAAACATTAAAGTCGATAATTGTATTAGTGACTTGGAGTATGAAATTGAACCGTTAAAAAATAAACGGTTAAAAAGAGTTCCAAAAAAGTCTGGAGAACTGAGCATTGATGAACCTATAAAAAAATTCAGAATAGAAACTTATAACACACTCTTTGATGTTACACTTACTGAAATTAATAGTCGTTTTAATGTCATTAGTTGTGGTGTGTTGAACGATTTATCACTTTTGACTGAGAAAAGGATAATGGAAGTAAGAGAAAGAAATGTTTTACCAGATGACTCATTTTTAGTATTTTGTCAAGTATATAATAAATTTGTTGATAGAAATGCTTTAATATCAGAATACTTACAATTTGTTGTTAATTATAAAGAAATTGAATCTACAATTAAACTCAAATCAAATTTACACACAATCATCAATGACAATGATTTAGACGAAGATAGGAATTCAGGCGATGAGAATTATATAGATTTTAGTTTATATGACAAAGAAGAAGATCAAACATCAAATTGCTCAAAACAGAATTTAGCCAGTGTTGGAAAATTATTTAAACTTTTCTGTACAGCATCACTTCAAAATGTTTTTCCAAATTTATATTTAACATTGAAAATAACTGTTACACTTCCCGTATCTAGTTGTACAGTTGAGAGATCATTTTCTAAACTAAAATTAATAAAAACTAAGCTTCGTACAACTATGTGTCAAGACAGATTGGAGCAAATGGTCAAAATAAGTTGCGAACCTGATATATCTCTTGATAAAGATAAAATAATAGATATATTTGAAAGCAAGTCAACGCCACTCACTAAATTATTAATTATTTAAATAATTTTTATAAACTATTATATTTTGTAAATGTTACAAATTTTAACTATTAAATTACATTTTCACTTTACTTACACATAAAATAAGTTTATTAAGAGTTGTAAAAAAAACTAATTTCATATACTATTCTTCACTATGTACCTATGTATTTGAATTATTAATTTATGCTTATCTGTATAAAATTTCAAAAATCAGAAATCCACAAGTTGTTCTTAAATAAATAATTTAAATTCTAAAATGTAAACATAAGTACATAACAAATGAAAGCAGCCTATTAAATAATACCTACAACTCATCAGTATGAGCTGTTTGATATATTTTAATATTAATATCAATAATAGTTGTGTACATGGAATTTTTATTGTTGAAGGGACATGAAAATAAATATTATGTAGACTCAACATTTTGCTTAAAATAATTATTTGAACACCTAGGTATATCTTAAATTATTGATAATTCACAATATGAAAATAGATGTAATGTATATAATGTATTAATATAAATTATGAATACAATATGATGGTAGGGTTTCTGCCCTCCTCCTGTGTACACCTATTAGTTGGTGGGTAGGTACTATTAAAATTTGATATTCGCCATACTGAATTTTTTGTAGTTCGGCGCCACTGGACTACCAACATTTCGAGGGGTAACCCCGTACCACTCTACTCCACTCATCTAAACTTCAAATACTTATAAGTTATAACTTATAAACAACTTGCCCTAAATTAAATTTTAATGTACTGAAATACTTAGAAAAATATTCTGTTTTGGAATATCAAATTAAAACTACATGTTGTCATTCAAAAAAAGTAAAAAACTTAAAAAATTATAAGGATAAAAAATATTTAAAAATATAATTTTTTAATAAAAACATTGTTTTGTAAACGACTTGAAACTATGTAAGAATATATTTTCAAAAACATTTACACTTTTTGAAATAATGAGTGTTCAATGATAAAAGAATCACTCTGTATATGTATAAGAAAAATATTTGTCTTGCCTTCTCTTACTTAAAGAGCTGCAATTTTATACTATTTTAGGAACTGCACATGACTAAAAAGAAATTGGAGCTCAAAAATTTGGAATTAAATGATGCGATGAGCCATTTAGAAGAAAAAGCAAAAGAGATAGAAGACATGAAGTTTGAAATGGTAACTTATCAAAATAAATCATCTTGTTTATGGTTATTTACATACAATCATGATATAACTAACTTAGTTATATCATGC